CCACCAATATCTGTGAACATCTGGAAGCATCAGTACTGCAATATGCAGCCTGTGCAATCACCTGAGGAGGCTGAAGGCAGACTGACCCATGACCACGGATATTCTCTATTTTTTTGTTAGTGCAGTTTCTAAACACCCACTGCAGTTTTTTTTACCGGAGAAGTTCGAAATCACACTTCAAGGATATTCCTTAACTATTCAATGACTCACAAGTGTCTGCTCCATTTCCGCCATTGAAAACTTTTATTTGACATCTTAAAGTAAAGCAAATGCTTATTTAATTTCCCTGCGGTTAATGTAGTTGAATGTCCCAGCCAGTCCGGGGCTGAATTCTGCCTTTTCCCAGGCTGTGGACAGAGACTGATGTCTGGTGACAGGACACCTCCTGAGAGGACAAGAGACTGACCCATCAGTTGCCTCCTCCTATGAGCGCGGTTTTCACCATCAGAGGACGCCCAGTTAAAGTGTGCTCAGTCCCCTGCTAAAGGGTTCAGACTCTTGCACCGTTTTCACATTGTGCTGCTGTACAGCTTGAGGGACTGACACTGAAGTAGCGATTAAGACGTGTTAGAAGCACAACTGACGCCACACACTCAAAGCAAAAAACAGAAAGACGTAAACATCAAATACAGCACTGGCCGGACACCTGAGAGATTACATTTATATGCAGAAAAATGCAAGGTGACCCAAAATACACACAAGGCCAACTGAACAGCCAGCTCTCACTTTCAACTGGTCTTTGCTCTTAACGTGCCCTTCTACAGCCACACCCTGGAGTGAAAACACAAGCGGGATCTGGGGTCCTGGGCGTTGTACCACATCCGCAGGACCCTCTGCCTCTGCCACGAGTCTCCGAAATCATGACGTTAATTTACAGTTATTTCAGGCTGGAGGAGTATCAGTGTGGCAGGAAATTCCCTTCGGTGCCCAGACGAGCTCTGGCAGAGCACCGCTCACCTCTGCTCTCTCCACCCGCCTTGTCTGGTCAAGCTGCTGCAGAGAGGAAGCTTGTTAAACAATTACTGCTTCTAGGTCCCAGTTACAA